ATAGTTTATTTTAATTTGTCTATTTGTGTTACTAAATTAAAAGTATGTTTGAAATTGAATAATTATGTAATAATCAAATTAGAAGTATATCTAAAATGATTGTAATTTTATAATTTAAGTAATAATTAAATCGAAAGTGCATCCAAATTAATTATTAATATTTAAACATTTATTATATTTATAATTTCTATTTGGATTTAAAATATTTTTTTAAAAGAAAAAAATTATTATAATAAAATCAAAAGTACATTTGAATTGATTATTATTTTATAATTTAAGTAATAATTAAATCGAAAGTATATCTAAAGTAATCATTAATATTTTAATATTTGAAGTATTATATTTATAATTCCTATTTGGATTTAATATATTTTTTAAAACTAAAAAATTATTTTATTATAATCAAATCATTTGAAGTGATTATTGTAGTTTTATGACAATCAAATTAGATGTACACCCAAAGTGGTTAACTTTTTTATGAAATATTTTGTCACAACTTTAATAAAAATAATACTACATATTCAATAATTCAATAAAATAATATTTGAGGAGAGAAAATGATAATTATTGAAATTTAAATTGTCAACATACTAATAGTGATATATTAATTTAAGTCCTTTTTAGGAAAAGAAGTTTGAGTCATTTTTATTTAGAATTTGAACAAAAATAAATAAATAAATAATCTTTTAGACTTATTACTATTTGTAACATGTTTTTGTCATATTATCTCAAGTTTAACAAAAAAAAATATTAGGTCTAATAACTCTCAAAAATAAAAAAATATTTATATTTATTTTACTATTTAAAGCTCGTTTATGTTATTTTCACCCCAAAATAAATAAACTATTTTTTAAATCCAACTTGAATCATTAGCTCGAAAGCTACTTACAAATTTGTTTAGCCTAAATACTAATTCAAACACATTCTATGGCGCAAACCTAATCTTATCTCAAATGAATGAAGTCAGGTAAATGGGAACTTCTTTGATAGTGATTCACGGTGATTGGAGGCGATTTGAGTGAGAGGTGATTTGGGGTTCGTAAGTGGAACTCGGGTGACGCGACGAGCTCACGGTGGTGGCTATTGGTAAGTGTATTCTTCTTCTTCTTTTTTTTAACTTCTTAGCTTTGGAATATTTAAACAAGGAATAAAAAGAAGAAACAAATGCTAACAAATATTATAAGATTAAAAAATATTACAGAACAATAAAGGCCAACAAATATTACATTATAGAGACTGACAAAGAGGAACCAACAAATATTATAAGAGTAACAAATATTACAAGAACAACCACTACAATAATTTTACATAAACTATGACACATTCCATAGCTGTTTTAAAGTTAATCTCTCACTAATACGTTTTACTATAGATTAGCTATGGAATAGTCCGTCGCCAAATCCAAGTAGTTAATTAAATAGAGATGCATTCTCTCTCAAATTTGTTGATGAAATTTTGTGTTTATCTAACTAATTGATCTTCCAAATTTCTAGTTAATATGTAGTTAATATTTCGTAATTGTTTTGTCATTAATCCCTCACAATTTGTCTTTAGTTAATCTGTAGTTAATCCCTCGTAATTTATGTGTCGTTAATATGTAGTTAATCTCTCACAATTTGTCTGTCACTAATCATTCACAATTTATCCCTCGTTAATTTGTAGGTAATTTGCTAAATTTATCATTATTGGTGTAATAGATATTCCTGCTAATTATTATCATGATAATGTTATAATATCAAATATTTCATATTTAAATTATTACGCATATTCTTGAAAAAAAGAAGATAAACTTATCAACTTTCAATATAAAAATATTGTTTAAACATAGTCAAAATAATATTTCAAACAATTAAAACATAACGAAAATAATGTTTCAACTATAAAGTTTCATATCAATTAAAAAGTTCTATATAAACACAATTAAATGATACATCCCAATAATAATTCCTACATTTTCCACATGGGCAAGGAATATGCCCAGCTACATCAGCAAATTTGGGGTCTTTTGTCGCTATTTGAATAAAATCATCAACATCATTTCTAAATTCTTCAATTATAATGCTGAATTGATTATTTCTTTGTAACATCCATCTTCGATCTGGTCTTATTACTCTTGTAGCCAGTTTAACAAAATAAAAAAAGTTATGTTTTCAAGAAAATAAATTATTATTAAGTTTAACATCAACACATGTTACAAACTTAAATTCTAATATTGCTTTAGAATAACTTCTAATGTTGGATTATGTTTAATTCCTCAACATGTTCACATTGCCAACATGTCTTTATCAAGCTTGTGTTATGGCCATGATGTGATATATTGTAAGTCTAAGCAAGCATTCCCAAACAGATTGTTCAAGTCATAAAATATTCTAAGGCCTCAAACTTAATAAGCACAACATAGGCTTATTGTATGCCATAGCTACAAAGAAATCTTGAAAAATCACTACCTTTACTGCTTTGCATGAGATTTTCCCACATTCTTTGAAGATTGAACTGCTTTGACAGATCAACTTTGGAATCAAATACTGTAAAAATTGTTAAGTGACAAAATTTACTTATAATATGAGTTTTTAAGGAACATTTAACAATAATTTAACATTAATTTTTATTAGGAATTTCTTCAATTTAGAATAAATTGTTTATATCCTTTTTGTGCAGGATTAGGTACAAAAATTGAAAAAAGAAGAAGAAAGTAAGCATGGCAACGGGCGGGGCAGGGACGTGTTTTGTCTCCTCGATCTCCGTCCCCAACTTTTTAATCGCCCCGATCCCCGTTGTAATTAGAAATTAAGTCTCCATCTCCAGTCCCCATCAAGTTCCCAGATCGCGCCCCATCTTCGTCCCCGATCTATATTATTTTTAAAAATATAATTATGTATAATAAATTAATTTTACTATGTATCTTTTATATATAAATAAATATTTATAATTTTACAATTTGTAATTATTATTAATTAAACATATATTTTAATTTATTATATTTATATTATGTAAAAGAAATATTTAATCATTATATATATATATATAGAATATTTATAACATTATTATTATTATTATAACATTGTATTCAAATATTTGAATACTTATAACATTATTATTATTATTATTATTATTATTATTATTATTATTATTATTATATTATATTCAAATATTTGATTATATATATATATAAGTTAATTTATTTTTAAGTGTCATTTAAAAATATGAAATATATAGTTTATAAGAAAATATTTAATAATTTAATTCTTATTTAGTTAGTTCAAAGTAATAAAAGTTTAAATTATCATTTTTTTAATCCTTTAAAATAAAATTATTTTATTAAGATAAAATTTGATATATGACAAATAAGAATAATAAGATCCAAAAAATATGACATAATAAAACCTAATAAATATAAATTATAAATAAAATAATATTAGTTACTACTAAGATTTATGTAAAATATTTAGAAAAAGATAAAAAAAATTAACTTTGTGTTCATCAAATTAGTTGAAAAGATTAAAAAAAATTGATTGGAGATATTAAGGAAATGTAAAAAATCGAAAGGTAAGAGAAAGTGAATAATGTAATAAACTAATTGATATAAAATATTAAAAAATTAAAAAGTAGGTAGAAGAAAAATAAAAATGGTAAAATAAAAAAATGACCTTATATATACTAGAAAAAGAAAAGGAAATATTTTTAAAATATTAATATTTTAAAATTTAAATTTAAATATAAAGTCGGGACGGGGACAGGGACGTGGTCGGGGTGGGGATTGCATTACCCATCCCCGCCCCCGGTCAACTCGATTTTTTCCTGTCAAACTCGGGACGGGGACGAGTTGGTCCCCATGTATACGTGTTTAATTATCATCCTTAGAAGAAAGAAACAAGTCAACTACTGGAAAAGAAATTAGAAGAGTAGAAAAAGTTGATTGGTCAACGAAACAGGCCAACATGACAGGGGAACTCTCGCTCAAGCGAGACATAACTCGCTTGAACTAGAAAAGCTGCAACTAATGGTGGTTCTCGGGTTGAGTGTTGCTCGAGCGAGACATGCTGCAACTGTTGGTGGCTCTCGAGCTCATGTCGCTCAAGCGAGACATTCTTCGCTTGAGCAATACATGTTGCAACTCTTTGTGGCTCTCAGACTCAATGTCGCTCAAGCGAGACATTCCTTACTTGAACGAGAAATGCTAAAACTTTTGGTGGCTCTTTGGTTTAACATCGCTTAAGCGATGGATTCTAGCTTGAGCGAGACTATGTTTCTTCTGGATGAAGTTTCTTTTTTGCTTGAGCGAGAAACGGTAGCTTGAGCTAGAAATCATTAAAACAAAAAACATATAAAAAGCAAAAAAAGGTTTTGAGTAGCGACTGCATGGGAAAGACAATGAAGAATAGTGTTTAAGAGATTGAAAAGGAGAGGAAGAAGAATCAAGTTTTACCCCCGGACTTCTCACTCTAGTTTATATCTATTTCCAACATGAGTAACTAAATTTATCATGTATTGAGATTGAATGTAACTTATTAACTTCTTACTTCTCTGACTTACATATGTACGAAATCTTGTTATTCAGTGTTAATTATTTGATTTTATGCTTAAAGCTAAGGTGACTTATTCAACTATCTTTTGATTTCTAATTTGAATTTATGTTGAAAAATTGAACTTGAATATGTTTAAATCAAATCATCTAATAATATTGCATGTTAGGAATAAATATGATATTATTAATTGATATAATCATGGACTTAATGCAAAAAAACTTATTTTAATGATTCAAAAATCTGGGTCCAAACTTTATTAAACACAAATAAACTTGGTACAAGAAGACCTTCTTAAACCTACAATTTCAATTTAGTTGTTTCGTAATTTCCATGGACAATAAATACTTTTTCCAGGGATCAATTGAGAAATGTTTTAGATTACTTTTTCCTCCTAATAAACATAAATAATCACATACGTAAGTTTTACTTTAATATTTTTGTAATTATTTTCATTATTTGGTAAGCATGTTCTAGCATAATCAAGAAAGCATTTACCGTGATCAGCACAAGTTTTCATCAGGCGAGGAAGAAGCAAATGTGGATCCCGAACAGTCCAACAATTGAACAACAATATCTGCAATTAATTCAATTACTTCATCTTTAGAAGTTTAACAAAAAACTGAAGTATAAATTTGATAAAGAAGAAATAGTAGTATCTCCACTCTTGTATCACGAGCTTCTAATTAAAACAATAACAAACACTTAACAGACAGCTGATGGTATACAATCATCATGATACACAAGGTTCATTTGAGAAAAGAACACATGAATAAGTACATTTCAAGCAAAAACATAAAATCCAGGTGTTTCATGTCAAACTTTGACAGTTGACACACATTATTGATATCTCATGATAATGAAACCTAGTTTAATGGTCAACATCTCTCACCTCCCAAATGTGGAAGTCAAATATCAGCCAAGAACAGTGTGCAAACTAAAATTCTCTACAAACACAGATAACAAAGGTAGGTACACCTATAACTCTTTTGCATATGAGTAAATTGTTCTGATACATAAGATTCCATGGGTGATTTAGTTATCATAATGCTCTAAATCGATATCTAGTTAAATAGAAGATTGGGGTAAGCTTACTAAACGTATCATTGCCTATCTCAATTTATAGACTTTAAAAACATAAGGTCTAGGAATTTTGAAGAAGTTGATAATCTGTATTTTTATGGATTCTATTAAGAATAATCCACATTCCTTGAAGGTAACATTAAATACGTGACAAGCTCTCTAAAGGGTGATTTTCTAACTAAGGGCATTAGATATTACTAAACAATAGTTATTCTTGGTTAAAATATCTATGGATAGAACCTTCTCAACAGAACAAACATTGCATAACTTTATTTTACAGTGACATATCCAACATTAGCTTGTATGCGCTTAAATTATAATAAATCTATTTTTAACATATATATATATATATATATATATATATATATATATAATTTATGATATAACAACAATTAATAGGGAGCACCACCATAGAGTAGTTTCCCATTCACTTTTTCATTCGTAGAAATTCAATACCAATAAAAGATAGTGAGAATAAGATAGCGGAGAAAACTAATAAAATAATGAACTAAATAACTACGTGTTAAGTGATGAATAATTTCAAGTTAAAGATAAAAATGAAGAAGAGATTATCCCGAGAAAACATGAGCAAAGAATAGTCATCAAAAGGTTTGACGGGAAGAAAATGCAGACATCACTGAAATAGCTTGGCTCTGTTGCAATTGATTACCAACATTGTAGTAGTGTCGTGATAGTGGTATGACAACGATGCGACAGCAGCGCAAAAGCAATGTGGAAATGACACGACAACAGTGCGACAGCAACGCAGGTAGAGGTGACAAAATACAATTCTAAGTTTTAGTTGGAAATGATAATAATTTTGAAGAAAGGGAGAAAATTAATTTAGATTTTTTATTGAAAAAATTATAAAATTTTAATAGTTTAAAAAAATATATTTATTATTATATTAAAAATGTTTATATTTAAAATAATATTTAAATATGATAATTATTATTTTTTATTTCTTATAAAGAATAATTTTTAAGAAAAATTTATAAAAAATATTATTTATAAAATTTTATACTACTTATGTAAATATTATTAAATACTTCTTACAACTTTAAATTTATTAAAAATTTCTATAATCAAAGATATTTTATTATAATCAAATCAAAAGTATATTTGAAGTGATTAATATAGTCTTATGACAACCAAATTAGATGTACATTCAAAGTGGTTAACTTTTTTATGGAATATTTTGTCACAACTCTAATAAAAATAATACTACATATTTAGTAATTTAATAAAATAATATTTAAGGAGAGAAAATGATAATTATTGAAATTTAAATTGTCAAACATACTAATAATGGTATATTAATTTAAGTCTTTTTTAAGAAAAGAAGTTTGAGTCATTTTTATTTAGAATTTAAACAAAAAAAATAAATATTTAGAATTTGGACAAAATTAAATAAATAAATAAATAATCTTTTAGACTCGTTACTATTTGCAACATGTTTCTATTATGCTGTCTCAGGTTTAACAAAAAAATATTAGGTCCAATAACAATTTTTTTATTCACTGCATGCTATTAAATTTTTAATTTCGAAATAACATTATTCTATCAATATTTACCTTATTAGCATGCTATTAAATTTATAATTCAGAAATAACATCATTTTATCAATATTTACCTAACTAGTACCATTTTTACATACACGATCTGAATTCGGTTCCTAGGAGGCCGAATTTTGACCTCACTAATTAATATAATTTTTAAAATAAAATAATATTTATTAAATATAATAATTAAATATAAATATATATTATATAAAATAAATATATAAGTGTATATATATATATATTTTTAATTTATTTATATAATTATATGAAATAAATATAAATATATTTTTTTAAATAACATAAAAATATATTTATATATTTATATAATTATATTATTAATATATTTTTATAAATATAGTAAAAATATATTAAAATATAAAAAAAAATATTTATATATTTCTATAAAAAATATTATTTTTACTTATTAAAATTATTTTATATTTAAAATATATTTAAATAATATATATAATTTATTTATGTAAAAATGTTATATAAAAAGATATAAATATATATTTATTAAATTTTATTATATTTATAAAAATATAAATAAATATTTAAATATTATATATATTAAATATATTTATTTTTACTATATTTATAAAAATATATTAATAATATAATTATATAAATAATTAAAAAATTAATATATATATATATATATTTTATATAAAAAATATATATATTTATATTTAATTATTATATTTAATAAATATTATTTTATTTTAAAAATTATATTAATTAGTGAGGTTGGAATTCAGCCTCCTAAGAATCGAATTCCAACTATATAAGAAAATTGTGCTAGTTAGGTAAATATTGATAAAATGATGTTATTTCTGGATTATAAATTTAATAGGATACTAGTAAAAAAAAATCTGGAAATGTTTGACTTTTTATAAAAGTGTGCTACTCATGTAAATATTACATACAATATGCTATATATGAAAATTTATGTTAAAATAATGCTAAACAGGGAAAAAAATCGTCCAATTACTCTCAAAATTAAAAAATAAAATCTTCATATTTGCTTTACTTTAAATAAAGTCCATTTTTGTTATTTTCACCCAAAAAACAAATAGACTGTTTTTTTAAATCCAACTTGAATCATTAACCTAAAAGCCCCCACAAATTCGTTGGGCCCAAAAGCTAATTCAAACACATTCTGTAGCCCAAACCTAACAAATTGCTAAACCTAATTTTATCTCAAATGAAATCAGGCAGATGGGGTTTCTTTGATAGTGGTTCACGGTGATTGGAGACTATTTAAGTGAAATCAGGCAAATGGGGGCTTCTTTGGTAATGGTTCACAATAATTGGAGACTATTTGAGTGGGAGGTGATTTGGGGTTCATAGGTAGGACTGGGGCAGTGCAGCGAGCTCACGCGTGGTAGCCGTTGGAAAGTGTATACTTCATTTTTTTTATTTTTTTTAACTTTTTAGCTTTGGAATATTTAAATAAGGAATAATAGGAAGAATGCTAAAAAGTAACAAATATTACAAGAACAATAAATGTCAACAAAATTACATTATATGGAGTGATAAGAGGAGTCAACAAATATTACAAGACTAAGAAATATTACATGAACAACAAATGCTAATAAATATTACATCATAGGGAGTAACAGAAAGGAACCAACCAATATCATAATAACAATTGTTAAATGATTGAGTTTTCATTGATATTTTTTTCTTTGGTTCTGTCTCTCCCCTCCTTTTTTTTTTCCTTTTCTTGATGTTTTTATGTTATTATGTGCTTGAGTTTCCTTTTTGGTTATTTTAGCCATGCCAAATTATGTACCTGTTCTCCAATTATTTTAGGATTTAATCATTTTAATATATTTTAACTTATATAAATAGAAAAATTAGTATTAAAAGGTTCTCCAATTTTTCTCAATTGGAGATTTTTTTTCTTGATCCCTGTTCCCTCATGCAAGCAAGTTGTGTTACCTTGCATTGTACAAATTATGTAATTTTCCGATAAATATTTTCATATAATTATGAAATTTATTTATTTTTAATCATTAAAATAAATTATAAATTTAAATACACTTAGGAATGAAATTTTTTTATAGAATTATAGAGTTATTATTTTTAAATATTAAAATGAAGTATATAAATGTAATAAAATTTATAATATATTTATGATATAATATAAAGTACTTTATAAATTATTAAATATAAATATTTAAAAATAATTATAGAGTAAATAGTTATTATTATTTTAAGTCAATGTAATTTTAATTTTATTTAATTCTTTCATATTTTTTAAATAGTTTTTATTTCAAAATTAATTTCATACTATGATTAAGTGTTATATGTATAAAAAATATAAGACATTATTAAATAGATTATGTAGAATAATAATATAAAATAATTATATATTATGATTAAGTGACATCTGTATTAGATGTCATATGAAAATAACAATATAAAATAATATTTGATTTTTATATAATTTCAAAATAATTATATAAACTAAGTTATAAACCTAAATAAAGTCATACCTTAAAAAGGGTTTGATGCAAAAGTTTTAATTGTTTTTGAAAGAACAGAAAAAAAGAAAAAACTTTCAATGTGAGATATATTTAGAGACGTTCCGTTGCAAAAGTCCTAGTAATGGGAATTCCGTCTCAAATTTTATATATCTATGACAAAAGTCATCATAAATTACAAATAAATGTTTTTATGTCACAAAATTTTAATTTCTCTAGTAAAAAACGATATTCAATCCATAAGACTCCTTGAGTCGGGACTTGAATATTCAAGATTAGTTTTTTATTGAATTACGAGTTATCATTGTTTTTATATAATAACAATTTTTCTAAAGGGGTTGTAAGGGAACATATACAAATGTAAAAAGGTATGATGCATTCTTTGATTTTTTTATTTTTATTTTTTGTGTCAGGTTTGATACAAACTTAATTGATTCAAAGTTGCGTTTGTTTTTAATGTTCTTTTGAAAAAACTCTTTATTGGATATAACAGTAAGTTTTATGAAAACTCCTTTCTTAACTTGAATTTATTCTTTTATTTTAATAGAGTATTTAAAATATTTTATGGTAAAATTAGTTTGTTTAAATAAAAAAATTAAAAATTAATTAAAATTCTAGAAATTGATAAAAGTATTTTGATTCTTTAAATAAGACAATTTTAAATTTTACTAAAAAAAAAGTAAGAATTTGAAATTTTTAATTTTTTTAATTTATATTTTTTTTGACTCATTTTTAATTGAAATATTTTTTATTTCTTGACTTGGTTTAATACAAATCAACCTAACTTCGACCAGATAAACATGATCTAGCTTAGACCTAACCTAACATGTTATATAATTATCATTGAACTATTTCAACCCTACTATTGT